GTCAGTCTTCCACCACAACCCTAACAGACTACATAGGAACAGGCACAAACCTCACCCATTGGAAAAACAGCAGACTACATGGGCACAGGTGTAAACTACAGTAGCTGGAAGAATAGGCACAGGTATAAGCCATACCAGATGGAAGAAAAAGTAAGTAAATGCCAGTGTAACAATACATTCAAGCACTGAAAGTGCAGTATGGCACCACCAGAACCCAGTGATCCTGGGTTCAGCGAGACCTGAACATTCCAACGCAACTGAAACACAAGCAAATGAACTTAAAAGTATTTTATGAAAATGATAGGCTCTGAAATAGGAAATGAAAAGTTCCCTTAGGGAAGTTGAGGAAAAGAAACAAAAGAATAGAAGAAATCAATAAATTCCTTAAAGAAATAAAAAAAAACAAGAAAAACCAATAAAACAGATGAAGTAAACAGTTAAATACTTGAAAATTGAAATAAAAACAGTAAAGAAAACACAAATCCAGGGAGTTCTGGAAAAGGAGAATCTGGGGAAGTGAATAGGAACTACAGATGTATTCATTACCAATAGAATACAAGAGATGAAAGTGAAGATTTCAAGCATTGAAGATACAATAGAGGAAATAGATTCAGCAGTCAAAGAAAATGTTAAATCCCATAAGTTCCTAACACAAAACATTCAGGAAATCTGAGACTCCATGAAAAAAACCTAAGAATAATATGGATAGAAGAAAGAGAAGAATTCCAACTTAAAAGCACAGAAAACATATTCAACAAAATCACATAAGAAAACTTCCCCAACCTAAAGAAGGACATGCCTATAAATGTACAAGAAGCTTACATAACACCAACTAGAATGAACCAAAGGAAAGAAAAGTTCTCTCACCATATAATAATTAAAACATTAAACATACAGAATAGGAAAAGAATTTTGAGAGCTTCAAAGGAAAAAAGTCAAGTAACAAATTAAAGCAGACCTACCAGAATTACATCCAACTACTCAATGGAGATTCTAAAAGCCAGAAGGACCTGGAAAGACATTCTACAGACAATAAGGGGCAATGGATGCCAACCCAGACTACTATACACAACAAAATTTTCAATCAACAAAGATAGAGAAAACAAGACTCTTTTATAACAAAACCAGATTTAAATGATACCTATCCAAAAATACAGCACTGCAGAAAGTACTAGAAGGAACTCAGTTACATTCACAAAAAAAACCACAGGCAATAGATAATTTCACAACAGCAAAATTCAAAGAAGTGAAACATACACACTACTACCACCACCACCAAAACCAAAAAATTAGCAGGAATTAACAATCACTGGTCAAGAACATCTATTAATATCAATGGACTCAATTTGCCAATAAAAGGACAGGCTGACAAAATGGATATGAAAACAGGATTCATCCTTCTGCTGCACACAAGAAATACACCATAACTTCTAAGACACAAATCCTCAGAGTAAAGGGTTGGAAAAAATTTTTCCATCAAATGGACCTAAGATACAAGCCAGTGTACCTATCGTATATCTATACGATAACGTATAACAAAAGGTACTTCAAATTAAATTAACCAAAAGAGATGAAGAAGGACATTTCATATTTCATCAAAGGAAAAAAATTCATCAGGATGAAGTCTCAATTCTGAACATCTATGCCCCACATACAAAGGTGTAAAAGAAACATTTCAAAAGTTTAAATCACACATCAAACTCCCACATGTTAATAGTGTGAGACTTTAACCAACACCCCACTTTCACCAACAGACAGGTATTCCAGACAGAAACTTAACAGAGAAACAATGGAACTAACAGATGTTATGACTCAAATGATCCTAATAGACATCTACAGAATATTTCACCCCAACACAAAAGAATATACCTTCTTCTCAGCATCTCATAGAACATTCTCTGGAACTGACCACATATCAGTCACAAAACAAATCTAAACAGATACTAAAAATTTGAAATAACTCCTTGTATATTATCAGACCACTATGGGCTAAAGTTAGAGATCAACAACAACACAAGCTACAAGAAGCCTACAAACTCATGAAAACAGAACAACTCTCAACTGAACCACCACTGGGTCAAGGAAAAAATAAAGAAATTAAAAACTTTCTAGAATTCAATAAAAATGAATTTAAAACATACACAAACTTATGGGGCATAAGGAAAGCAGTGCTAAGAGGAAAGTTCATAGCACTAAGTTTTTACATAATTAGGAGAAATTTCACACAAGTGACTTAACAACACACCTGAAAGCTCTAGAACAAAAAGAAGCAAACTCATGCAGAAAGACTAGATGACAGGAAATAAACTCAGGGCTGAAATCAATAAAGTCGAAATAAATAGAACAATACAAAGAATCAATGAAACAAACAGTTGGTTCTTTGAGAAAACCAACAAGATACACAAATCTTTATCCAAACTAGCCAAAAGGCAGACAGAGAATATCCAAATTAAGAAAATCAGAAATGAAAAGGAGGACATAACAACAGACTCTGAGGAAAAACAGAAAATCATTAGTTCATACTTCAAGAACCTGTACTCCACAAAATTGGAAAATCTTAAAGAAATGGAAAACTTTCTTGAGAGATACACATACCAAACTTAAATCAAGTTCAGATAAACAGCTTAAACAGACTTGTAACCCCCAAGAAAACAGAAACAGTTATTAAAAGTCTCCCAACCAAAAAGAACTCAGGGCCAGATGGTTTCAGCCAGATGGTTTCTATCAGAATTTCAAAGAACAGCTAATACAAAATCTCCTCAAATTGTTCCACACAATAGAAACAGAAAGAATATGACCAAATTTATTTTATGAGTACACAGTTACCCTGATACTGAAACCAAGCAAAGATGTACAAAAGAAAGAGAATTATAGACCAATCTACTTCATGAACATTGATGCAAAAGTACTCAAAACAATACTAGCAAACTGAATCTAAGAACACATAAAAAAAATCATCCACCATTATCAAGTTGACTTCATCCCAGAGATGCAGGATGTTTCAACATAGGAAAATTTGTCAATGTAATCTACCATATAAACAAACTGAAAAAAAAACACATATTTATTTCATTAGAATCTGCAAAGCCTTAGCTCTAACTTCTTATTGGCTAACTCTTACATCTTAATTTAACCCATCTCTGTTAATCTGTGCATCATCATGAGGTCATGGCCTACCAGCAAAATTTTGCTGTGTCTATCTTTGGCGGTGGCACCAAGACTTCACCCTAACTCCACCTTCTTCCTCCCAGAATTCAATTTAGTTTTTCTTGCCTAGCTAAGTTCTGCCTTGTTATAGGTCCAAAGCAGTTTCTTTATTTACTAATGGTAATCAAAGCATACAGAGGGGAATTGCACATCACAATAACAACTAGTCTGGCAAGGTTTGCCCAGTAGTGCAATAGTGGCATCAATATTATGACAGTAACCAACCACCTGCTTAGATTTCAGACCTACTTCATGAGACAGAACTCATTTGTGTTATGACCAACATAGCAAAGAACACATTGCTAGGTATATCATAGGCACATCTGCAACACAAGTCCTGTACCTAAGGTTCAGAGATCATTGTAGAAGAGGGACCCCATAAGAGCCAGAGAAGCAAGGCGTTTGCTGTGAGGTTGTCTCCTAGAAATGTCAGAAATTACAACCATCAAGTCTCACCCTTCATGGCTGCCTTAACAAAGCTGAACAAAGATGACACCAATGGACATGCTAGCATGGAAGAGGGAAAGCTCACTAGGCTTCAACCCTAGACAAAGAACTGCTGGCAACTGAGGCATGCTGAGAGTGGGAGAAGTAGTCTTTGCTTGGGAAGAGCACACCAACTGGTTATCCAAAACCAAATGGTCAGCCCTGAAAACATAAAAATACAATTAACATTTATACAGGCTGAATGGGCTGTGTTTATTTATTTTAAATACATACACACATACACACACACACACACACACACACACATATATATATATACATATATATTAAAGAAAAAGAGGACATAAATTTTACAGGAAGTGGGGTAGGATGCTACATGGGATGGTTGGAAGGGAGGAGATGAAAGGGGAAATTATTTTCAAAAGCAGTACTTAGGTGCTGTTAATGCAGGATTTTAGTTGCTTTTTCTCAACCTTCTACCAATCTGCCCTTGACATTGGACTTACAATAATTCTACTACTCCAGGTACTGGTGCACTCTTAAAAAAAAATTCTGATTTTTAGTTATTGATTCATACACCCAGAAGAAACTCAGTTTTTGGGTCAAGGATTCATGTTCTCTGTCTCTGTCTCTGTCTCTCTCTCTCTCCCACACACACACACACATTTTATCACTACAATATTCAAGGTGCAGGGAAGCATTTGATATGATTCTGAATAGTTTTGGTGAATCTAATATAATTTAATTATATTTGTTTATTTACAGTTACTTTGAATCTATGACATTTGTTTGTTCTTTCATATATTCATTCATTTACAATAGCTTTGTTATTTTCTCAGAGTTTTGAATTCTGTTTGTATTGTGTTACTACACAGCTTCTAAGTCCCAAGATAAGAAAATATATTTCTGTAACATCTTTTAGTTGCTTTCATTGTTTTCATTTTCCATAACTAGTATATATTCATTCACTCATTTGATCAGTTAATATTAATGGAATACCAACAAAGTGCCAAAAAATGTAGCAGATACTTGAGATACATCGGAAAACAAAACTATGAACACTGGCTCTTCATTTTCCTCTTTTTTTGTCTCCTTCCTCAATCTTCCCAGACTGGCTTGGGATACTGAAGAAGTTCACATTTCCAGACTTGCCAATCTACCTCAAGGCCATTCTGGCACTAGAATATCCCTCTTACTCCACTCTAGATATCTTCACTGTTTTCTATGGACATAAATATGAGGGAATGTAAATTTCAATAAGACCATTGTCAAACAAGGCAGAGATCTAGGGAGACCTGAGCTACCCCCCAACTTCCCATCTACTGTCCCTGTTTTGCCCAAATTTTCTACTTTTCTTCCCAAGTCGTCTTCCTCCATGCAAGTCTCTTCATGGCATTTTTTACCTCAGAGTTCCTGAAAGAGTAAATAATGGGGTTCAAGAGAGGTGTGACAACTGTATAAAACACAGCCACGATCTTGTCCACAGGGAAGGTGATGCAGGGTCTCATATAGACAAAAGAACAGGGTATGAAGAACAGACCCACCACAGCAAGGTGAGAGGCACAGGTAGAGAGTGCCCTACGCCGTCCTTCTGCCGTGTGGCTCCTCAGGGAATGCAGGATGACCACATAAGAAGCCAGAAGCACTGCAAAGCTGATCACTGAGATGGAGCCACCATTGATGATGATTAGCAGACTAATGAGGAAGGTGTCTGAGCAAGCCAACTTCAACATTGGGTGGACGTCACAGAAGTAGTGGTCAATGATGTTGGGACCACAAAAGGGCAGTTGGAAAATGAGGAACGCTTGTCCAGCAGAATGCAACAAGCCCCCACTCCATGCTGCCCCTACCAGTAGGCCACATACTCTTCGATTCATGATGGTGACATAGTGCAAAGGCTTGCAGATGGCCACATAGCGGTCATAGGCCATCACTGTCAAAAGAAAGATTTCAGTGCCACCAAAGAAATGGAGGAAAAATATCTGTGTGATGCAGCCCTGAAGGGAAATGACTTTCCTTTTGAGCAAAGAGTCAAAGATGAGCTTGGGGGCTGTGACAGAACAGTAACAGAGCTCTACCAGTGACAAGTAGCTGAGGAAGAAATACATAGGGGAAGAGAGTCCTTTGCTGGTCATAACAGTTACCACAATGAGGCCATTGCCCAGCACAATGGCTACATATATCAGGAGAAACATCACAAAAATAACCTTCTGTACATGCTGACTCTGGGAAAACCCCAGAAAAATTATTTCTGTTATATTGCTTGTAACTGCCATGTTTTAAAGCACTGTTTCTGAGAACCTAGAATCACAGAAATTAGAATCAGAATTCACCAGAAATGAGAGGCATTCTCTTGGCTTTCTGGTCTGGTCTCTCTTCTCCCTCCCTCCCTCCCTCTCTTTCTTTCTCCCTGTTTCCCTCCATCTGTCTCTTCTTCCCTCCCTTGTTCCTTTCCTCCCTACCTCCCTGTTTGATTTGGGTTTTTTCAAAGTAAAGATTCCATGACACAGTGATTAAAATAGCAATTACCAACTGCTGGATATTAGTCTCAGGTTGAAATTTGACTTTGTAATTCTCTTCATACATAGGAATTACCTGACTATCCTCAAAAATGGAGGGAAGATATGCATGATCCAGCTCAAATCTTGAATCTCTGACTCGTAGTGACTTAACTGATGACACAGTCCTGCCCAACAACAGAACAGGATCACATTCTACAAGGAGTGATTTCTCAACTCTAATTATTCTGCAGTTGGCAAAACTTACCAGCCTCCAGAATTTATATATGCTAAAGTCAAATTATATTGTATCAAAGCATAATTGAGTATACTTCAATCTACATTATCTTAAAGTACTCTTGCAGTGTAGGCATGCATAACATTACATTTAGAAATGTTCAGTGTTCCAGGATTCTGATACAGGAATCTTCCACCCAACACATGCACAGAAATGATGTGTATAGAGGCCAGAGGTAACTCTCAGGTGAAATTCCTCAGAAGTGCCATTCACATTATTTTTTGAGACAGTGTTTCTCACTGGATCATGGGTCTTGCGCATTCTGCTAGATTAGCTGGCCAGTAAACCTGAAATATCCACCTGTCTCTGCCTCCTCAGCACTGAGATTATAAATAAGTACCATCACATCTTGTTTTTTACCTGGTTGTTCGGAATCAAATTCAGGTCCTCATTCTTTCATGGCGAGCACTTTCCCAACTGACCTATCTCCTATCCCTGATTTCATTTGGATTGGGCTGGACTGGGCTGGTTTGGCTTAGTTTGAGTTTAAGATTATTGATATGTAATATATCTTTATAATACAAATATCTTAAAAAGCTATAAATTAAATGCATTTGGGTGGGACAACAATAAAGGAGCCAACATCTAAGAGGAACTAAAAACGTGTTTGAGGGAATTTCATAAAGGGTCATCAGCCAAGTTAAACATGGACAAAAATGATGACATATCACCTATGGGGTATAAATAATTTTAATTATAATTTCTTATTTATTGGAGACAAAGTAAAAGATTGAAAGATAAGTGAACATTCTTATCAGGCAGAAAGCTAACTGGATACTTCTAGGATTTGTAGCTAATGAAACTTTAAACAGAATTGAACATAGAAGCTTAAATTAAATTCACCCAATAAACAATTTCCTTGAGAACCTTTCAGATCTTTCTAATGAATCCAACACCTACTTTGTGACTTCCTGCCTGACACTTCTTATCTTAGAATCTCATGTTCTGTGCTGTTCTGAAAGATGAAATTGACCCAGCTGCCCGTGTCCAGTATTCCCTCTCTCCAACTTTTTCTCCAAAGACATATCAATGAGGTGTAGATAAATAAAACACAGGGACCTCTTCCTCCATTTTATTTTGCTCAATAATCATAAACTGTGCTGCACTAGCACTCAATCACTGAATACCATCTCCAGACCCAAAATTCAGGTTTCTGCATAGGCTGAGCTCCATTCAGGCTCAGATGACGTTAATACCTTTGTGTCCTCTAGAAAATGTCAGTCTTAGCCAAGGTGCTTAAATTTCTCAAAAGAATATTTTTTAAAAAAAAATGTAGCAGCAATTATTTATAAAACTATCATTGCAAATTATTCAACCAGAATCTTGTTTTAAAAAAAAACTAACTCTATCATCTGCTCTAAATCAAGCTGCAAGCTTTTTAGTCAGACGACAAGACTCTGACAAAATGATACATAAGGCGATCTCATCTGCTAATAGAGAGCAATTCTGAGACAGGCTTTCCGTTTATGAAAGCTTGTGAAGCAGGGATATCAACAATGAAATAAGCCAGTGAAGGGATTAGGTGTGCTGTGCAGCTGGTAGAGTGCTTACCTAGCATGTAGAAAGCTCCAGCATCACATAAAACTGGATGTGATGGTTCATTCCCATAATCCCAGCACTTGGAGGTGAAGTCAAGAAGATCAGAAGTTCAAGATGATCCTCGGCTACCTAGAAAGTACAAGGCCAACCTGGGATATGTGAGACCTTGTTAAAGACTGAAGGAGATAGGGAAATAAGAAGGAAGGGGTAGAAGAAATGTGCCAGTGTTTGAAAGGCCCCACCCTAGTGTCTGTTCATCCTCGGAAGAGCTCAGTGAATGCAAGACTTGAAATCTGCTCCACCCAAAGAGACTCACCAGTTGTCATTAATGCTGATACCCCTGTGTGTCAACTCTAACACTTAATGACCTCATTCGGAAAATGACAGGGAAATACAATGGGACAATTCTACCCTAAAGCCTATGAAAAGGAAGTTAGAAATGTTTGCTGGACCAAAAGTCCTGAACCATTTAGGTGTGAGGGATGAAGAATTTAAATCAGAGAGCTGAATTTCCTGAGCATAGCATGCCCAGGGAGTTCCTAACAACAGCAAAAGCCAAGTTCATATTTACTTCATTCAGAGTTAAGAGAGCTCTCTCTAATTAATCCAATTAGAAAGCCAAGATTTCTACTTGCCCCTTATGATTGGCCCCGGCTGATCTGGCCCCAAAGGTCCTCCATTCTGTATTCTGAGGTGAGTGACAGAGAAGGATCCACCATCTCAGCCCACTAGGACATCCTTGTGGGGGCTCCAGGTGGCCTCTGCTACCCTCTCACACCTCATTGTACCCATGATGTCAACAATTGCCAAGAAAACTTCAGACAAAGAAATCCAGGCTACCTCACACACATACTTTAAACAACACAGACATAGAATGATCTCTGAGATCATCTACTCAATCATTGTGAAGATGAGAGAGTAACCAATGTGGACATAGTAGCACAGCTACGCCAACTGTCTCTTAATAACTGTTGTAAGAGTCTTACAATTATATATTTTTACAATTATAAGCATTTGCCAGCAAATTCCCAAACATGGTGGAGGGGCATCAGAAAGAGTAGAGTTTCTTTACTACAAGGTGTAATTTCCAAAGCAACAGCACACTGAATTTGCATTTCTGTATCTTTCTACTTTTCTAATGTCTCATATAGGGAAAGTGACAACAACGGGCATTCCCAATTGATAGATTGAGCAAAGAGAGCTCAGAAAGGTAAGGAAAATTGTTCAAACCTATAAAACTCATAAATGATTCTATTGAATCAGAAAGAGGAGGAAGAGGAGAAAGAGAAGGAGAAGAAGAAGGAGAAGAAGAAAGGAATGTAGAATAATTAGAACAAGAATGAACTGGAACAGAAATTTGTAACAGAGAATTGGAATTGAAACAGAATAAGAGCTAAAAATCTGTAGACAATTAGGACAAGAAAATAATAATTTAAAAAAAAACAGTGAACAAACCTGACTGGAACTACAAGCATGTGAGCTCATTCCATTTCCTCTTAGGCTAGAAATTTTCTAAGTTCCTTTCACTACACTGAGGCAACCTAACCAAATCCCGGGAGAAAGTCAGCAGAGCTGGACTCTGGTGGCTTTTGATAAATAAAAATATTCACAGCAAAATAAAAATAAAGGTTAGAGATAACCTTAATTTTCTTCATTGTACTGAAACTTTCATTGGGCATAAATACATTAAAAGAGTGTGTTGAATACCTTAAGCAAATATGATTGAAATGATGCTTCATTTTTATTTAAGAGTTATTTATATTTTCTGGGAATTTTATACATGAGCACATTGCATCTTTATCACCCCTTCTCCTTCTTTTACACCAAGTCCTCCACACCCCTTCCCAAATCATAATCTCTTTTTAAATTGTTCCAGTTATATACACATGCATAAGTGTGTGTACACACACACACACACACATATATATACATATATATGTATATATATATATATATATTCACACCTGTATATATAACCTACTGAGTTCATTTAGCTTTGCTCATATGTTGTGTTCCCAACCATGACCACTTTGAATTGGACAACCTATGTGGAAATTTGTGCCTGAAGACAATTGACCCTTAGCAAATAATAACTTCATACACCTCTTCATCTAGGAGTAGAACCATGTGGAATTTTCCCCAGCTTCATTGGCACATCAACAAAAAAATAATTCAAAATAAATAAAATCTGTCCCTACTATATACAAGGCTCTGAGTTAAAATTCAGGTTCCTATCTCTAACTCACCAATAATAAAATAATTAAGCACATGACTTTCACAAACCTATATTTATACCCAAAATACCTTGAATACTTTATATGTTCAATTAGAAAGTTCCATATTTTAGGACTTTATAGTCTACATACGGTTTTAAAGAGTTTAGTAATTGTGCTGGCAAAAGGGCAAGTGTGATAAACAGAAGCACCACAAAAGTATTTATTATTCAATATTTAAAGTAGATTGCTTAAAATACTAATAGTATAGGTTTCAAATATTGATTTTGAAATCTTCAAGCAAATACAACAAATGTATACAATCAGAAGAGTTCATCTGTTTTAATTTTGCTTAATCATTCAGTTATGCTTACTCACAAGATTATAATTTGTGTTCAGTTCTAAAGATTTAATGTTTCTGTCATGAATAAGATATCATATATACAACATGTATATTATATTATTAAAGTATTTAATGTCATTGTCAATTATGCCTAATATAAAGAAAAGTAGTTCGTTTCACAGCTCTTAAAATAAAGAATCCAATTATCACAGCACATCTCCAAACATTTTATTGGGTTTATTTATTTTTTTTTAATTAAAAATTTCCACCTCCTCCCCTTCTCCCTATTCCCTCTCCCACTCCATCTCCCCCTCCCTCTACAGTCCTAAGAGCAGTCAGAGTTCCCTGCCTTGTGGGAAATCCAAGGTCCTTCCCCCTCCATCCA